GTTGCGCCTCATCAGATAGAAATTTGGTTAACTTTCTTCTCTATCTCGGACTCTGTGCTCAGGGTCGCTGATTTTTGGATATTAATTAGACTGAAGTTTTCTACTTACAGAAAATTGTAGCGTAATTTCTTAGTCAATTTATCATGTCAATAACATGATCCTCAGACATTTATAGGCCGATAGAGGGGGTTATGTTATAAATCGTGAAAATTTACGTCTGTCTATTACGTTCTTGAAGATATTGTTGAACTTTTATTTCTTTAAATTTGTATGTATATTTATATGTAAAAATATAGTTGAAAGTAGAAATTACATTTGAAAAATAACAACTACATGTTATATTAGTTTGAAAAAAGAAAAGAACAAGTTATTTCCAAATTCAAAGAATTTTTGGCTGTCGGTTTCAGATTTTGCTCTTATTTCTGATAACAATATAATCTGTGCGCACAAAGAATGAACACATTTAAAAAATGAAAACTCAGATACTGTTTTCTGCCACTTATGGCCTAAATATTCGAGTAATTTGAAAAGTTGATATGAAATTTCCAATGAACTAAATATAAACTCAAACCCAAAGCCACCCTAACATGGAAGGAAAGAAAAAAACTAAATCTAAAGCAAAACAATAGTGTGATTGCAGCTCATGCTCAAGATCAAAAGGACGAGTCCTTCTATTTCAACAGTTTCAATATTCACGAAGACATCTGCAGCTCCAGAAAGATTGACATCCTTGTAAAAGTCTGTACAGGAGACTCTTATATTGATAAATTGTCCAATCAAGTAAGACTCGGCCATGCAGCAATGCTTGCTCTTGGCTGCAGCATTTCAGAATAATGAACATGATAAACTGAAACTCTTCTTTCTGTCTCTGCTTCTCATTTCCCTCTTGTTGTATGGTTAACACTCTTGCAGGCTTAAATATTCAGTTCTGATAAGCTTCCTTAATGGGTTGCCTCCTACTTGCACATTTGTAGATATAAACGGTGCTGGAAGAGTTGCAATCCGGGTTCAAGATACTTTTCCCCAAGGCTCCACAGGTCTATTAGCCCTTCAATCTGCAGTTATCTGCCAAAATCAAGTGTTTAAATCAATCTGTAATTACCCATCAGCTGAGCAAATCATTGACTGAGCCTTCTTTCTCATCATCATCATTATCAACACAACATGCTATAAACTCAGAATACAGCAGACCCAAGAAAGCACAGCAGGTTCCAAATTCCTTTCCTGAAAACTTGTTTCAAACGCTAGCACTAGCAGTGGCAGAGAGGTCTGGCAGGCATTTCTTGACAAGAGAGTTGAGTTCTGACACTAACAATTTTAGTCCTCAAATGGTGATTGGAGAAGAGGGACATAGCAAGTGGTTTCCAGCCAAGCCTGAGGATGGTCGAGCTGCTGCTGTCAAAGTGCTCAAAGCTCAAGAATCATTAACAAGGGAGTTTCTCCGAGAAGTAAAGAAATTGTCCCTACAAAGCATGATAATTTAGCTCAGATGATTGGATATTGTGACAGAAAGGATATGTATGCAATTGTGTCTAATCTGCTAAAGGAAACTTGAAGCAAAATTTGGCCCAAGTCAAGTAATGGCCAAGGCATTAGATTTTCTTCATCAGGGTTGTGACCCTCCAATAATTCATAGAGAAATGAATTGATCCAACATTCTCCTCTCTGACATTTGCAGACCAGAAGTAAGCTCTATCTGTTAATCTCTGCTGAACTAATGGGATTTAATTTGTCTTTTGGTTTTCTCTTGGCACGAAATTGAATGAGAATTGAACCAAATGGAACCCATATTAATTTGAGCAATCTATCATGGCTGACCAAATGCTATAATATATATATATATGATTCTAGTTTTACACAAGCTTACATGCTTAGAAAAATTGTCTATTTGATCACTTTCTTAGCTGTCCGATTTTGGAGTTGCAGTTGTACTTCACCAGTCTAGCAAGTTTCAATCACAAAGCTAATCAAGGTCGTTGTAAACTTTGGGTACCTGGCTCCAGAATACATGAGTATCTTGACGTTGATGAGAAGATAGAAATGTACTCGTTTGATGTTGGTGCTTCTGGAACTCATTGCAGCTAGCTAGCAAATTCTGTCAAGCAAGTCAATTCACAAAAGCTTAGTACTTTTGGGTAATAGAATAGATAACCGGACATTGGACTTTTCCTGATATGAAATTTCTAGAGCTTCAAAAATCTGTAATCTGACTAACTTTGCAGGCAAAGGCTACTTCACTGTGATATATTTGATCACCTAATTGATCCTTCATTGAGTAAATGCCACAAGGAAGAGATGCAGAAGATCTCCTTGTTGGGATAAAGTAATAGATATCAAGAATAAATATGTAATTAATTGTATTGCTTGCTTAGCAGTGGTCGACCAAGAAAAGTTGATAGGAGCCAAAAATCTTGTTTCATCACTGTAGAGGGTAACAGCTGCCAACTTAGAAGTAACCTGTATAGGATGGACTAAATCTCAGAAAAAGTACTCATTGTGATTCGAGCAGAAGTTTTCAGCTGGACTACAAAATGATTGAGCATTCAGTATTCCAATCCCACAACATTTTTCTTCGCCTCTGTAAAAATCTAAGGAATTAAGAAGAATTTGTTAATAGTTTGATCATATTTAAAGCCAATAAACTGCAGAAGCAGAACTAGAGAGCTAGGCTATTTCCATTCTTCTGCTATGACTATTTTCAGAGAAAGAACAGCTTACTGAATGATACAGGGTAATCTATCACTTTAATTGCCATCTCATATGCATTTCCCTTTTCCCACGCAGTATTTTAATGGATACTAGCACTTTAATATCCTTATCCCTGTGAAAAATGTGATAGGCTTCCTATAAAGATTTAACTTGTACTTATAGCAAATTACTTGACTTCTATTTTGATAAACATTTGTGTTCTTGACTTGTTAATTAAGATTTTCCTTATTATATATTTATATTAAGATGCATGTATGTTTAGATTAGATACATGAATTTTAAGGTACATGTACGTAATTGTTTACCATATGAATGTATCTTCTTTTCTATATAAACCCTTTTTGTCTTTTGAACATAATATAACAAGTTAAGTTTTTATCTACACTTTCTCCTTCCTAAATGTATCTATCATGACCTAAGAAGTTGTTATGCCAGTTGACTTTGAATTTATTTTTTTTGCTGAGTAGGTCATAACATTGTATATCTTTTGGTATTTTTATTTTTGTTATTATTCTTGAAGTTTTGAGTGAATTTTAGTTTTACCTCTTATGGTTTGAAGTTCTTTAATTTGAGATCTTGTGATTCTTTTTATCATTTCACTACCTTACAATTTATATGTTAATCAGCAAGCATCACTTAAGTTTCTTTGACTCTTTTATTTTCATGATGAAATGAGTTTGATTATCGTTTAAATCAAGAGGTTGCAAGTTGCCGAGAAAAAAAAAAAAAAAAAAAAACCACAAGGTTTCAAATTGGAAAACCTTAAACCATACATGATAAAATTGAAATTTCTCTTTTAACTTTTTTTTTTTTGGTGTTGTTCCCCTTTGTAGTTACTTATGGTATATCTGCATTGCGGTTTAGTGCAGTGTATTTTATTACGATTTATTTAATCACATTTTCAAAAATTACAGTGTATTAAGCATAATAAATAGGTTGACAAAAAGATCAGGGCAGCAGATGAAAAAAGTTGAGCTTATTATGGGTAGATATAAAAAATATCATAAAAATATATGAAAGGATTCAACTGTTATTAGATACAAGCCAAGTACAAATTTTTTTCAAGAAAAAGAATGATACTTAAAGAAGCCTGAGTTTAGCCTCTAATCTGTGGTGAGTTTTGATCTTTATACTTATGCATATATATAATAATATCACAATACTTTAGCAGCAATCAAATTCTGTTTATGGAGACCTAGTGTGTTTGCCTTTAGCCCTTCCACATAGCAGGGCATTCTTTGGAATTGGATACTCATCCCTAACCGATTTCACTGGAGTATAAACTCGAAGATAGAATTGCTGTCCCAGGTATTGTCTTGCCCAGAATTCACTCCTTACGTTCCACATCCCGACATTGTCAAGTGCCATGTAAATTGCAGTCCATGACTTTGGATACACCTGAATATACCAACAACCATATTAACTTCTTCTTCAAGTAAATCATTTAGTCATTCAAATACTGGAGATGAATTTTGAACTTGTCTAACCTGAGTAGTGCAACGGGACACAGCGTCTCTAAGATTGTACTCTGAACGGCTGGCCGGTGTCCACACTCCTCCATTCATCCTGCTCACACAATGATTCACATCATTCATGATTATATACATTACACATATATGTAAAACAATGTATATAGAATGTGGATTTTTATATACCCGACAACCCAGAAGGAGTATCCATCAATATGATAGGACTGGATAATGTTTTCATGGTTTTGAAATACAATCTCGACAAAGGCTCTGTAATCAGCTCCCATGACTGATGTATCAAGTCTGATATTCCGGCCACCGGTGGGAATATCGGGGATACTTCCAACTCGGAAAACACCGCTGATGTTGAAGTAGTCTGCAAGCTTGAGGGGTGTATCAGCTTGTACAAAAGATACTCCATTAATTGCATATCTTTGCCGGCGGTTCACCTGCCCTGCAGAGCTCTCAAGCTTGATTGTTCTTGAAATATTAATCATACCATAGTGGTATGAACCCTGTGGATTCGGTCTTGGTCCGCTTGCTGTTAAATTAGTCCTGCAAATTTTAAAACACGATCCGTCAGAAAACATTACATTTGTTTTAAGCTGCATGAAACTGGTTTTGATTATTTAATTTTACCTACCTGATAGAACGAGCTTGGTTTATAGACCAATCAATTTGAGTGGTTGGTCCGCCAGGGATTGGACCGGATACCGGACGGGCCGAGTTGCTATAGTGAAGGGTGGCGGTTGTGGTGAGGACTTTGCGGGTGAACCGGGTTGAGGCTACCACGTAGTAATCCTGTGCGGGCTGGTCCATGGTAACTAGCACTGAAACGGACTGGCCCACATGGACATCAATGGATGAATAGGAGGTTTGTACTGTGTGGGTCCCTTCAACTTCAACCAGTTTCATTTGGTGACCTTGAATCCGAAAATTGAGTGAATTTTGCAGCCCAACATTTGAGATTCTAAACCTGTACGTTTTTCCTGCAAATTTCATTTAATTTTACCATTAAAATTTATAAACTACTTTCAAAATTGACAAGGAGTAGTAAGATTTATCTTAAAGTACCTTGTTCAACAGTAAAAGAAGCCTTATTCGTAGTAGTTCCGCGACCATTGATCAAGACTCCGTCAGGAAAAGGAAGTCTATGACCTCGGTCTAGCAATGTCTTCAAGACCTGAAACAAATGGAACGCGTTAGTACCTTTACATTTTTTAAATGTCGTATAAAAATTTGTAACGCCAGATATTGATAGGTTGAATTACGTACGGAGTGATCGTGTTGGTACCAATCTCCGATGAGAAGGGTGAAATCTCCAGCTGGTTCGGGGAAGGGAACGGGAATTCGAGGCCTGCTGAGGATCTTAATCCCACCAAAACCACCGGCAGACTTGTGGAAAGCAAGAGATGGGAAGTAGTAGAAGCTACCTATTTGATCTTTGACCTGTAAAATGTAAGTGAAGTTTTTGCCTGGAGGAATTGGACAGGTGGTGCCGGACACTCCATCTTCAAATGAATTCCTCCTCTGCTGAACCCCATTCCTGTTAATTACAATCAAAAAATAAATTACTTAAAATTAATTAAATACGAAAGTTTTTTTTTTAATCAGAAAAGAAAAAAAAAAGGGGGTAATTAATAAAATAGGGCAATCCCCGTGACCAATCACTTGTTTTTTTTTTAATTAAAAAGTCAAAGTCCTATTTAAATTTGTAAGATTAGACAAGTGTATCAGGAGAATGTTGGGAACTTGATTGAGGATTGACAAAAAAAAAAAAAAAAAAAAAGTGTCAGAAAAGTACATGCGTAAAGATGCTTGTCGTTTTACATTACGTGAATGATAAAACGCAAATCATTTTATTCTCGCTTATACGACAAGAAAAACCAATTACATGTCCACGTTTTATTGCATGATTCCATTCCGTCCCAATCCAACTACTGTTTTATCAAAACTATATTTAAATGGTCACAAAACTTTTTTATTTTTGTTTTACTTTTTTACTTTTAAACTATAAAAATTTTAATGTGCTGAATACATTAATTTTTATTGA